AAGTTGCTAACTCGGGAACGTGAGAAGCTAGAAGACTGGAATTTTGAAGGGATGTTTCCTGACAGTGCTGGTGGCCAGTTTGAAATTCTTTTAGCTAGAAGCATCTGCCAGAAAAACCAGTGCCCTTAGCTACAAAAATCTGCGACAAGCTCTGCAAAAAACGCATCTTCGCACGGACAGCCCGTGCATTGACCAATTATTTTATTATGATCTGACGAGTATGAATTGTTGGGAGATAATAATCCCTTTCGGGAAACAAAACAAAAGCAGCAGCAGCAACAGTCCGGGTGCTAAAACTGTACTTTTTTAGCTGTTTAAGTGATATTGGTAAAAAAATAATTCGGACATTATAGATGTGATAGAGTTACGAGAAATTTCATTAATGTAAAATATGAATTTAACAATTTTTGTGTTTTTTTAAACTTCACGGGATGAAGTTTTGCATGGCGCGCCTTCGATTCAACGATGCAACTTTGACAGCGTGGTTTGTGGCTGCGGCGGGGAAATAAGTGCAGTGGGACGGTGAAAAGTTTTGATTGTTTTTCGCTCTTTTTCGTGAGAAGGTTTGGCGCGGGTTTTTCTTACGATTCGATGGGATTTACCGGGAGCGAATTTCCCGGAATAGTGATTCTGGGGCAGAAAAACGGGCTGCTGTGTGCGCTGCAAAGCTTCGTCTCAAGCTTGGCGCAGAAATCGGTGATCGCGTCGGCAAGGCCTCCCGTTTCCACGGCATTCCTCCCGCTCTCGCCAGACACCCCGTCCCCACGGTGCCTCTCCCGTTCCCACGACACTCCCCCGTTCCCACGGTGCCCCTCGTTCCCACGACCTCTCCCACTCCCGCCACGCCCCTCCTGTTCCCATCACGCCCCCCCGTTCCCGCCATAATCCCCTCGTGCTCTCGCTCCTACCGCGCTCTACCCGTTCCTGCCACGCCCCTCCCCCTCTTACCGCGCTCTTCCTGTTCCCGTCACGCCCCTTCCGCTTCTACCACACTACCCCGTTCCCGCCACCCCCCTCTGGTGCCACCACGCCCTTTCCGTTTCCGCAACGCCCCTTTCGTTCCCGTCGCGTCTCTTCCTCCTCAACACGCTCCTCCCCCTTCCACCACAATTATCCTGTTCCCGCCGTACCCCTCTCGTTTCCCCGCTTCCCTTCCTGCGTTTTCTCAAAAAAACCCCTTTTTTGAGCATCATCGTCCTGAAGGCCCCTCGGAGGCATGATGCGTTGCAGGGGGTTGGGGGTCCGACCTCGGCCCGGGGACAGCCAGATCCTGTACGATTCGTTAATTCACATTTTCCGGTGATAGTATGCTGCTGTTACATATTTACTTGATTGGAAATCGAATCCGTGCCATCGGCCTATTTTTGAGCAGTCCTTGAAAAGGGGTCGTTTTCCCATCGATTGGTTGCTGTTGGTAAAATGTTGCTACTCAGCCTATGTGCGATGCCTCTAAACCTTGGGGTGATAAGGGGTGTTTTCATCTAAACGTGTTTTTATCTTTTTTTCGCAGTGCACGCATGTATTAGAATCGAAAACTTATCTCGTGGTACTCCGTTTGATGCGCTACTTTCATGCGCAAAATCATCATTATCATCGTTAAAATCATCGTTTTTTGAAAGAGAAATGCCACCATTTTGCTTAAATTATGGTATCCTCAAGTTTGTTGTGTGTTTCCATGCTCAAAATCACCGCAAAATAGTTCTTTGTTTTCTCGAGCTTTTTTATAGTGGCAAATTTTTCGGTTCGTTTTTAACGTTTCTGCTTGTTAAAACTCGACGTGCGCTCATTTTCCGATATATTTTCAAAAAAACTTCGGTTTAATAACGGGTAAATTTCAGGCTGTGCGGTGTGCGTGTGTATAAGCAGCAGAAACGATCGTCGCTTTTTGCATATGTTCGATAGCAGTGCAGCATAATGACTGAACCGGACGATGTGGATACGATGCTTGAGCAGGCGCTCGACCGAATCTATGATTTTGATCGAAACAACGGTTATGGGCATGCCGAACCAATGGCCGCTCTAATACGTGGCAAACAAGCAGTCGCAGACAACGGCGAAAAGCAGCAGCAGCAGCAGCAGTTGGCATTCGGTGGTAATGGGGCGGGCGAGGAGCTGAATATCGTAAATGGTAGGGAAATAGCGGGAGGTGATACATCTCTGTCGTATAGCGAAAGCAAAAAAAAGCGAAGCAACGAAAGTAGCAGTAAGAAGCGTTCGCGCTCCAGGCACTCCTCTGCTGGTAGCCGCCGCTCATCGAATCGCGACAAGGACAGCAGCAAGGACAAGAAGAGACGACGAAGTTCGAGCCGCGAGCAGAAGAAGCAATCGGGCTCCAGTTCTCGATCACACAAACGCAGTCATTCACGTCGCAGATCACGTTCCAAGGACCGGCATCACCGTCCAAGGTCACGCCGACGAAGTTCACGCTCAGGATCACGTGGGAGTCGCAGACGACGCTCCGGCTCACGCCGACGATCCGGCTCTCGGAGACGATCCGGCTCCCGGCGACGGTCTGGTTCTCGGCGACGATCCGGTTCTCGACGAAGATCCGGCTCCCGGCGACGGTCTGGTTCACGGCGACGATCCGGTTCTCGACGACGGTCCGGCTCTCGACGACGAAACAGCAGTCCATCGTTTCAGCGACCTCGTGTACTGGACCATCGCAGTTGGCGTGCATTTTCGCCGCTACCACCACCCTGGAGACGTTCACCGCCACCTCGACGACGTTCACGATCTCGCGGTCGTATACCGGGCCCAGAGAGGCGCGATGTGATGCCGTTCGTGCCCCGGCATTCGCCACCACCAAATGCGAATCTGAACATGACATCGGAGGAGCGTGATCAGCGGACCATATTTATACTTCAGATTGCACGGCAAACTCGGCCGCACGATGTGGAGGAATTCTTCTCGGGCATTGGGACGGTGCGTGATGTACGGATCATCACCGACTCCAAAACGAGACGCTCAAAGGGAATCTGTTACGTCGAATTTTGGGAAATCGAAAGCGCCGATAAAGTAAGTTATTCTTCTAAAGCCAGAACCTTTGCACATTCACATTCTTATACTTTTTTTGCATTATTGTAACTGGTTTTATTTGTTTGCTTTCATTTGGGTGTTTCTGTATGTGCTTGT